CACTGTCATTAATAACGCTCCTGGGAGTGCTGACCGAAGGTTACTTGGGCTCGCCATTACGCCTACATCTGCACGTGCTCCACGTGCTGGAATGTCAAACCCCGGTCATGGTGGAGTCAAGGTCCTTGTTGTGTGGTAAGCTATTTCTCAAATGTTGGCATCTGTCCGGACAGTGCATTAACACTGGGCAAACCTGTACCTGCCAACCTAACTCTCTCAGAGCGGGCACCTGTTGGAAGTGATGAATGGGGTGTATGTGACGCTGGTATTTTATCGTTCATGCCCCTGCGGTATTACAAAGGGCCTTGATAACAGGGTTATGATGAAATCAAGGATACGTTTCTCCAACAGGGAATTCAATATACACTCCATGCAGGCTAGCTGACGTTTTCAAGTAAAGTTTTCAAAAGACGTGGACACATGTTATTGATCATGTAATGGGTATGGTATAATGTAACTCCATCATGGTGTCTCTGTCTCGTCAATTCAGCATTGCATCGAGATTTGATAAAAATTGAATATGAAAAACAAAGGTGGAAGGTCATATATAAACAGTTGTGCCCTGGCGAGGGAACCAGACTATACCCAGTGTCATTAATGAAGGTTCCCTTCGGTAAGAAAGGTGTCAGTCATGAACATATACCAGTATACCGTCAGTAGAGAGCCCCCAATGTTTGTCTGTTGTTTATATTCCCCGCTATATGGCGGCGGTATGTAAATAATAGAAATTAGACTAGACAATCCAGTGATCAATAATGCTGGTATTGGCATACAACCTGCGTGATATTATATATCACGATACTAAAATTTTAGTCACGACAATATATAGCCAAATTATTGTGCATTGAAGCTGCGATACGATACGAATCCAGATATAAGGGTACCGATACGATACGTATCACGACACTAAAAGTTTAGTCACAACGATATATTGCCAAATTATTGTACACTGAAGGTGCGATACGATACGAATCCCAATATAAGGGTAGCGATACGATACCTATCACGATACTTAAACCTTTAATTCTAACACCAACTATAAAACACCTCAAAATCAAAACAAAAGCAATGTTTAAATGAAAGAAACTTTAATTTGAAAAAAAAGACATTATTTTAAAAACAAGTACAAAATAAGTAAAACATAATTCTGTTATAAACAGAAAACATAGATCAAAAACATCTCTAATATCTGCATGTTGCTGGATGCTGTCACTGCAGTCACATAATAGAGTGAAATTTGTACCGATTTTAAAAACGGTATATCTTGACAGATATCGCGATTCGGCAATATTCAAAGTTAAACATCGATGTATCGTGGCCCATTTCAGGCATTTGACGAATCGTATCGGGATATACGACAATGTCAAACTTTGTATCGATTCACTGTATCGGCGGCCCATGGATGGATGCGTATCAATGAATCGTCACAACACTAGTGATCAACAGCATGAGCATCGATCTACGCAATTGGGATACGATGACATGTGTCATCCAAGTCGGCTAGTCCGACCACCCGATCCCATTAGTCGCCACTTACAAGCATTTGCTGCTGAAGACCAATTCTAACCCGGATATTCACGGGTATTCTGGGTAAATAGGGTGTCAAACATGAACATACACAAGTATGCCGTCAGTAGGAATGAGTGTATCGACACACTGATTTTGATTTGATTTTTGTTTTTATGGGGTCCCTTATTAAGGAACTGATATAATAAGTACAATCAAAACTGCCAGATTTAGGCGAATAAAAAAGTTGTATAAAACACTCGCCTAAAGGCAAGCCGTGGTTTAACCCCTACAAGACAGTAACAGCTAATGTGGATGGAATGGTTCGTTCCAGATGCAACCCTGGAAGTTGAAATGCCACGTTTTGTCTCGTATTCTTTGCGTAACCCCTCAAAATGACGCTGAGTATAATTCTTTGCATCTTACGATTATGTTTGACATACAGTTACTTTGTTGTTTGTTTTATTTATTACGTACACTTCAAGCATTAGTGCATGTTATTATGGGATATTTATATAGCGCACATATCCACGCACTAAAAGTACTATAGTGCATACTCAATGCACTGGTATTTTTTCCCTCGATCATTGGATGTCAATCTCAACGGCACATCGCATTATCAATCTCAACTCCCTGGGGAGTATACAACTCTTGCAGCCACTAGGCGCACCGAGTTATTGTGGCTTTCTCATCCTAACGAGGTACCCATTCACAGCTGGGTGGACTGGGACACATAGTCTCAGTACTTTGTCCATCTTCACTGCACGTTGCTGTACCCGCAACTAGGTGTTTGTACGTATTCATGTGGACACCATCTAGTCATATACCAACGGATTCGTGGGTTCTTTTAAGTGCACAGGTTTGTGTACTGTACTCTACGGGTTGTGACAACACTGAAAGAGTCTGCACACAAAGTTGACTCCAAGGTTTTTTACACCCGGTCAAAGGTGGGCTCGATTCCGACACCTCAACCTCGCTGGATCACTAGCCTGGCGCCTTAGCCAGCTCGCCCACCGCTCATGTGTCAGTGTTGCATACAAGACCTAAGGATGTTCTAGTTGGATCTGCCTGAAGGAAAGTATGATAGTCGCCCATAGAAATATTTTAATCTGTATACTACATGAGAGGTGAGTTATTAGCCTTGCTCCAAAGCTGTACTGAAGCCTAAGAACAACGGTGACCGCCGAAGATGTTCAGTGTGGATCGCGTCCCTTGCGTACGAGGCTTACTTAGGGTCTCTCAACCACAATCAGTTTGTCGTTATGTAACTGACTGACTGACTGAATTAAGTTTTACGCCGCTTTAAGCAATATTCCAGCAACATCACGGCGAGGGACACCAGAAATGGGCTTCACAAATTGTACCCATGTGGAGATTCGAACCCGGGTCTTCGGCGTGACGAGCCAACGCTTTAACCACTAGGCTACCCCACCGCCCCCGTTATGTAACTAACTTATACAATCTTACAACTAACTGACTTTGACGATGTCAAGTCTCACCCTACATGTAGTAAAGGAATATCTGTCATATATTCAAATCCAACTATTTGACCGTTTGTTGGCTGCTATTGTGACGTGGATGGTTGGACGGACTTAATAAGTTGATATACACACACCATACGTCATGGGGATATTTTATGTGCGCTTCCAGTTGTTCCCCCATTATCTGGTAAAACATCTGGATGGGATGACAAGGGACTTTGTCCTCACTTGAACAAACAATATCACGTGTTAGAACACAGTTCAAGTCTTACACCATATAACTGTCATAATATCTTTTCGTAGCTACATTTTATTAAGAGAAAACGTATGTATAGATTCGTATGTCTAGATATAGCCTTTGATAAGGTTATTTATTACGGAGGGTCGAGTCGTGTGTGGCGAATATTTGCTGTTGTGTTTTTATTTATGAGCGCACCCAACACACATGACACACCCATTTTGTCGATTATTTATGTCCCTGTGAGCCTTTTTTCCAACATTTGTTCAAGATTAGAGTGTGTTCGTACATGTATAACATAGAAAGAATTTAAAAATATACAGTTAGAAAGTATATGGTGAGTGAGTGAGTTGGGTTTTAGCAATATTCCAGCAATATCACGGCAGGGGACACCAGAAATGGCTTCACACATTGTACCATGAGGGGAATCGAACCCGGGTGTTCGGCGTGACGAGCGAACGCTTTAACCACTAGGCTACCCCACCATCCTAGAAAGCACATACATAATCACAGATAATACTTTCCCTTTTACTAATAACAGTAAATTAGCTACACATTTGTTTCTGAGCACAACTCTCCAGATGTTAAGGTAAAATACCAATGTTTCTGGCCTTCGCTAATAAGCCTGCTAGTCCTTTTCTGTATTACGAGTCGTTAGCCATTTTGTCCCTTCTGATTTGTCGACCGTTTTGCCAGACAAACGGTTTAAATAGGGGAAGCCCAGTGGTTAAAGTGTTTACTCGTCACGCTGTAGACCCGGTTCAAATCCTAACTGGGATACCATGTCCTGGCGGAAGATCTGATGATTTTGACTCATATTTACAAGGCTATTGACTACTAAAAACGTTTAGCAGGACCGACTGTGGATAATCTGTCAGGGCCGGAAATAACTTTAAAATTGCTAGTGTACTCCGGTACAGTGGCACATGTAAAATCACTTGCCCTGATAATTTTTCCAATATAGCGGGCGTTTTCTTGTTGATTTTTTACATAAACAACATAATTAACATTGGAAAGTCAACTGGACACAGGTACAGTGTGACATACAAATTTGCTTGCCCGACAGAAAAAAACCACTGGACTCGGACGTCGGGCAATGTGCTATTTCCACCCCTGTATGTGTAAGACTAATAAAGGCAAGAATTTTATGGATGTCAACTTCTTTATTGTGATGTACACGACGTTTCGGAGTGTAATCTCACCCCCTTCATCAGGTGATACACACCGTATTGTGACCCATATCATTGACTTGATGAATGAGTAAGAATAAAAATCCAAAACGTCGTGTACATCTCAATAAAGAAGTTGACATCCATAAAATTCTTGCCTTTATGTTTATCACTTCTAAATGCCGTTCAAAGACTCCAGACCGCCTCCGTGGTGTAGTGGTTAGAGCGTCCGCCCAGAGAGCGGAAGGTCGCGGGTCCGATCCCCGACCGCGTCATACCAAAAGACGTTAAAATACGGTACTTGTTGGTCCCTGCCTGGCGCTCGGCATTTAATGGGTACAACAAGGACTGGTCGGCTCGGAGTCAGTATAATGTGTCTGAGTGGGGTATTCATGCTTCACTGCGGCATGGTATCTCAGTGGGCTAGCACAATAAAACCAGCTTCAGTCTGGGCTAGTACAAGCAGCCGCACATACACATACACACGCATGCACGTCGTCATATGAGCGAAATATTCTCAAGCACGACGATAAACCCAATTTCACCTCACCTCACCCTAGTCTGTTTACATACATACATACATACATACATACATACAGCACTGAAAACAGCTATAAGATATTTTATTACCATTTTAGAGTACAGGTATGACAGCGATGTATATATCTGAGGTGATTGCACGGTAAATCCACACGTAGATTTCAAGATGGCGCGTCCGTGCGGTGGTACTCGTTGATTGGACGAAAGGATGGAGGACGGAGTACTTCCGGTTATGCTTTGACGAAGGTCACGCACGCCGTTACGTCGTTGACGGTCATCCTCTGAAAAAGGAAGGATGTCAACTTTAAAATCATGGAGTGATGCAACAGCGTCGATAATAAACTCTTCAACTAAATCCAATCTTATTAACTCAGCAGTAAATGGGTACCCGGTGGGATGATATGGTATGACTTGCGCTTCATCTTGGGTTTTGTACATACAAGGGAGCTGAACATGGAATTCGAGAGCAAACCGATTTTAAGACCAGGGTGCCTTAACGCTACGCCTGCCGTAAATCTACACTAAGGTATTCGAGTTACGATCACGTTAGCGACCTTAAGCACTGACTTGTTGAATTGAACCTAGCGCATTATGCACTGTATGTTGCGTAACGAGAACGAATCAAGACTACAGTCTGGTTCCCTCGATATGCTGCGCTGGCGCTTCACTGACCTTGGCAATGACTGCATAATGGCGGTCTCGACGAGGCAAACAAACCTGGCGGACACGACATGTAATTTATTTAGAAAAGAAATCAGGCATTCAGGTAATTTTTCTTAGGATTTCCATCAATACTGCAACTACTTACACGTCAATGATTGCCACTCGATTTGACAACAAAATGTGATATAGTTCCAACCAGCAAACCCACCCTATAAGTATATGACCAGTCCCTAAGAATTATATTTTTTGCAACGTGATTGCAGTTCCTTTTGTGTCAAATGGGTGAATGTAGTTTGTCTGGGATTTAAAAACACAATAATTATGCTTCAGACGGGGAAAAATAGAAATTATCTGCTACAAAAATTAGACTGGAGTTATTTTGTTGAAGAAAATTAGGATCCTAGTTCTCATTAATAACGCAGCAAGTCTCCACACAAAATCCCAGCCTGGTCGAGTAGAGATAATATTCGCGACGAAGATAAGTTATTCCCTGAAACCTGGTGAATTATAAAATACTTGTCAGGACAATGTATGTTTCCCCAGTGTTTGGTTTTGGAAATAGTAATGGTACTCGGCCAGTCTTCCCATATGCTTCGCTCGCACATAGGAAGACTGGTCATTTCCTCTTTGTTGCGCAACCCTATTTGCGCTACAGTTTCCTGTGCTTGGAGCAAGTACCGTTTGGCGGGAGCTCAATGATAGTATTGGAGTTCATAAGTGTTTCTTAAATTTCTGTAAACGTGACGTTTTGACGATGAGACAAAATGTGATTCGACAACGGTTACCTCCCTTCGATGACCATCCTCTGAACACATGGCATTGGATGACAATGCTAGGCCACATACCGTTGGAGATTTATTGCGTCAAGAGGTGGAGGTAACTCTGACTTGGACCGCCAGGGCTCCAGATCGCAATGCCATAGAGTATGTTTGTGACATAATGGATCGCAGAATAAGCCAGAGAGATCCTCCGGTACAAATTCTTGATGTATTGGTACAAGTCATCCATCAAGAGTGAGTGAGTTTAGTATTTCAGCAATATCATGGCGGGGGACCCCAGAAATGGGCTTTACACATTGTACCTATGTGGGGAATCGAACCCGAGTTCGGCGTGACGAGCGAACGCTTTAGACCGCCTCCGTGGTGTAGTGGTTAGAGCGTCCGCCCGGAGGCGGAAGGTCGCGGAGTTCGATCCCCGACCGCGTCATACCAAAAGACGTTAAAATATGGTACTTGTTGGTCCCTGCCTGGCGCTCGGCATTAATGGGTACAACAAGGACTGGTCGGCTCGGAGTCAGTATAATGTGTCTGAGTGGGGTATTCATGCTTCCTGCGGCATGGTATCTCAGTGGGCTAGCACTATAAAACCAGCTTCAGTCTGGGCTAGTACAAGCAGCCGCACATACACATACACACGCATGCACGTCGTCATATGAGCGAAATATTCTCAAGCACGACGTTAAACCCAATTTCACCTCACCTCACCTTAGAAAAGAAATCAGGCATTCAGGTAATTTTTCTTAGGATTTCCATCAATACTGCAAGTACTTACACGTCAATGATTGCCACTCGATTTGACAACAAAATGTGATTTAGTTCCAACCAGCAAACCCACCCTATAAGTATATGACCAGTCCCTAAGAATTATATTTTTTGCAACGTGATTGCAGTTTCTTTTGTGTCAAATGGGTGAATGTAGTTTGTCTGGGATTTAAAAACACAATAATTATAGAAATTCTCTGCTACAAAAATTAGACTGGAATTATTTTGTTGAAGAAAATTAGGATCCTAGTTCTCATTAATAACGCAGCAAGTCTCCACACAAAATCCCAGCCTGGTCGAGTAGAGATAATATTCGCGACGAAGATAAGTTATTCCCTGAAAACTGGTGAATTATAAAATACTTGTCAGGACAATGTATGTTTCCCCAGTGTTTGGTTTTGGAAATGGTAATGGTACTCGGCCAGTCTTCCCATATGCTTCGCTCGCACATAGGAAGACTGGTCATTTCTCTTTGTTGCGCAACCCTAGGCCTATTTGCGCTACAGTTTCCCAATGCTTGGAGCAAAGTACCGTTTGGCGGGAGCTCAATGATAGTATTGGAGTTCATAAGTGTTTCTTAAATTTCTGTAAACGTGACGTTTTGACGATGAGACAAAATGTGATTCGACAACGGTTACCTCCCTTCGATGACCATCCTCTGAACACATGGCATTGGATGACAATGCTAGGCCACATACCGTTGGAGATTTATTGCGTCAAGAGGTGGAGGTAACTCTGACTTGGACTGCCAGGGCTCCAGATCGCAATGCCATAGAGTATGTTTGTGACATAATGGATCGCAGAATAAGCCACAGAGATCCTCCGGTACAAATTCTTGATGTATTGGTACAAGTCATCCATCAAGAGTGAGTGAGTTTAGTATTTCAGCAATATCATGGCGGGGGACCCCAGAAATGGGCTTTACACATTGTACCTATGTGGGGAATCGAACCCGAGTTCGGCGTGACGAGCGAACGCTTTAAAGGTCACATAAACCCTAGGGGGTACAAATACATAAATCACTAACTGGCATCGTTATAAATAAAACCCCGTCATTAAAACTACTCATTTCGACCTTTAATTGACTTAAATCGACCTTTTTGACAACAGTGCACAATTCTCACCCGCGAACGAAATTTCAACCAATCAGAGCGGCGCGCCTCTGTGACGTCATATGAGGAATACCTTTGAGGGCCGATGCAGAATTCATCTACATTTTGGGGGTTAAATTATCTTGTTTACAGGCTTGTATAAACCTGAAATCGTGACAATTGTTGTGGAAAATTAAAGCTATATGTTCTCACAATCTATTGTCATTTAATTTTGTCTCCTGCTTTGCCTAGTTTCCGAGTAACAACTTGTTTTCATAGACGATTCTGTCAAAATCGATTGGTGTCGTTAGGCCCTATTTGTATAATGACTGATCCAAATTGATCCCATTTCTGTCTTTTTTTTACCTCGATATTTAATCATGTCATGTAAAAATCTGTTTGTATTGTCAAAACAGTGTCGGCCCATAAGTTTTCACATGCAATACAGCAATTAATACTCCCTCGTTGTAACCCGTGTTAGGTGGTATAAACCTACACATGTTATTTGTCATCATTCACTTGATGGTCAGTTAATGATTTTATAACAGGTATAATTAGTGGTAACACACTTAGATTACCCGACAAAGGTTCCCATTTGGCATTTCTTGTGTCTGGAGTAAATATTCAACATTATAAACATCGATCAAAGGATTAACCGATAACACGCTGATTGATTAATTACTTTTATCTTACACAGCGGAATTGTCAAAAGGTAGTGTTTATGTATGTAGATTTACTAATCTATACTGAATACACTCTGTCGTGTCGACGTCTGCGTAAAAACAACGTCCTTCTTTCAAAGGATTAACCGGCAATACATTGATTGATTGCCCATTATTGGCTAACTAAATTACTGTTTTTAAAGAAAGGAGGACATTATGCAATTAGTTGTCAGGTGTGCTATCTTGGGTGACCAATGCGACTATACACCAATACTCTAGTACCTGAAAAGAATTATCACTTTTTCGTATATTAAACTGTTAAAAGACATATCATTTGGAACAGTTTTGTGGATATTGATGGATACATTCCTCGAACAAGGTAATGGCCTGATATTGTTCCTATAACTTTAATCTGTTTTAATTTTAATATTTGCATTTTGTTTTTATTCATTTGTCGTAGCATTCAACAGAATCATTGTTTTCGCCGTGAAGTGTAATGAGACAGACAACATGCACTAGGGTGTGTGTGCGAATTATGATTCACATTGGCAAACAATAAAATGTCTAGATATTACAGTTCTGTTATAAATTCACTATAAGTATCAGCAGATCGTCTGCTTTTTATTTAGTTTCAAAATGCATACAAGTATGATAATAAACTAATTAGGATTATAAGACCAAATATAAAGACGCACATTGACTAGTATCTACATACTGGTGAGTGGACATTAACCATGGGAATGTAGCAAGAAATTTATCGCGCAGTATTATGACTTCGACCCCCACCTCGCTTCCGTGGAAGAAATCGTTATGTTATAAGTTGTGTCATGCAAAATCCGTTTGGTTATGATTCCAATACATATTTAACTACGAGTAGAAAGTAGTCTTGATTTTCTAACTTGATGAAAACAAACTATAATCTCATTAATTCTAACAGATTTTTTTATTTTTAAAAATGGCGGCGCCCTATCGGGAACATCCGCCAGTCTGAGGATAAATGGTATTTAGGTTTGTTTTCACCGAGTTACAAAATCAAAACTACTTTCTACTGGTAGTAAAATATGTATTTTATTGATGGCCAATAGGATTTTGCATGACATAACGTATAACATAACAATTCTCTCGTGGCAGCGAGGTGGGTCAATATAATACTACTTACAATATTATTGTTACTTCGACCACAACCTCACTTCCGAGGAAGAAATCGTTATGTTACAAGTTGTGTCATAGAAATTCTTTATGGTCATCAATCATATGCATATTTTACTACAACTAGTAAGTAGTTTTGATTCTTTAACTTCCGTGAAGCGATCTGAACACAAGTAAGATATCGTTTCAGGCTTCCACAACGCTCGCTTCGCACTCACAAACATAACCCATTTAGCACGAACTGCGGGGTCCTGTGGAAATCTGTGCATGGGGACACCATCGCCCGACCCCTAGGAGCAATTGACGACAAAGCAACGATTCGGCATGTCGTCGTTGATGTCGAGAAATCATCAAAATGATGAGCGTGCTACACATTTTCTATACAACTAACTGAAAATCGTTCCTCATATGACGTCACTGCAACTGCTCTGGCGACAGAGTTACGTAACCTGTCTGTGGTTTCGTTGGCGGGCGAGAGGGAAGCAGGCGACATTTTGGGCACTTTTAATCGCTCGGTATTAATTAACCACAAGTTTTTAAAGAATAAATTTGGTGTTCCGCATAAGACTAACCACAAATCTTTCATATGTAATGGTTAAAAAGAGTAACAAAAAAAAGTTTATTGGTTCTTTAACCACTAGGCTACACCTCCGCCCCCTCCATCAAGAATGGAACGCAACACCTTAACGTCAAATTGAACGTCTGATGAGGATGGGGGTCAGGGATGTTATTGCAGTTGGCCAGAATCTTCAAAACTTGTCCCATGACCATAGTTATCAGCACAACCGATGGGTCATTTTGGCCTCGTTTTTTTGTTCATTTTGCGTTAGATGTTTCACTGCCATTTAATGTTTCACTGAGGGTCAATTTATCCAACAGTGAGTTTAATTGAAGTTTGGTTAGTTACTGCTCTCCTATGGTTAATAATAACATAGTAACACTATGAAAAATATACTTTTTCTATATGTATATAATAGACACCTGATACGAAATATTAACATATCGCTGTTGTCATTGTTTACAACATAATGGCGATGATGATGATAATGATACTGTAAGAGTTAATTGCCATGGCAACCGATGATTATGTGACCCGGAGGGCACATGTCAGTTCTGACTGATCTCGTCAGGATTACATGCAGCGCCCGACGGTGTTATTAACGTTCGTGGACATGAACGTCACCCCCAACGTGTCACGACATTACGACGAAGAAAGACTGAGCATAATCCAAGCCATTACTGTTCCCGGTGTGCACAAGCATGAACTGGACATAGTGTAATTGTCAGAGCGACGGTTCGAGATACCAACAGAGGTCAAGATATAGTACTTGTTGTTACTGTGCCTGGACCTCGGCCCTTTGTGTCTTTGCGAGGATTAAAGAGGAATTACAAAAAATAATTTTTGAAATGACCCCCAACTCGAAATGCTTCACAGTACAATACATCATGATGTATTGTACTGTGAAGCATTTCGAGTCGGGTGTCTTCTAAAAAAGGAGAATTAATCTTTAATCCTCGCAAAGACACGAGTGCCTGTGGACGAAATATTGAATAACACGAGTGAGTTCCGAATGAGTGTAACCACGCCCTGATTTGTTAAAAATGGCCACAAAAAACGACCGTTGCCATTTCCGCGTTAAGGAGATACGTGATGTATAAAAACCGATGAAGTTCTGAGGATGATTCTCATCTGGAATAGGAGACTGCGTGTCCGACAGCGTACTACCCACCGACACCAGTTTGTCTTTCTCCACAGATCTCTCGATGACGATATTACGATCCCCCAGGGTCTGAGTTTCCACCATTTTCTCTCCGACCAAGTTCACCACCGACTGTAGGAAACAGAAAAACAAATAACTTCGTTGTATAAAACTCACTCGGTGATATTCTATCTATAGGGGCGGTGGGGTAGCCTTGTGGTTAAAGGGTTCATTCGTCACACCAAAACCCAGGGTTTGATTCCCCACATGGGTACAATGTGTTAGGCCGATTTCTGGTTACCCCGCTGTGATATTGCTACTGTATTGCTAAAAGCAGCGTAAAACTAAACTCACTCACTCACTCACTCACTCTACAGGACATTGGTTTGTAAATAATCGAAGTCTGGTCCAGAGAAGAAAGTGATTGACATCATGAGCAACAATCTGAAGAATTGGATGCTCTGTCGTGTCTCTACCATGTCAGTGATAATGTAGTTTACGCCGCGTTTAGCAACATTCAAAACCAAAGCGGTTGTCTATTAATTCTATATGCCTATGACGTCACATTTCATTGCAGCTAGGGTAAAGTTTCGCAAACGTTTTTCGTTATGTGTATAAAGTGTCCAGTTTTCAAACTTTGTCTCAGTGCATCAAGGAAGGATGCCGCCATTCCTGCAACTGGAGCCGTAAAACTCGAGAAAGCTGCCTTCTGATTTGCTGGTGTCGTTTTCCTACTAGCCATTTCATTGGTCGGTCAAAGTTCACAAGAGGTCCTTCAGACGTAACCTGTGCTCAGATGTGATCAGCAGAGTACTTATGTCTGATTTAAATGAGATTGGGCACACCCAGAAAACCGTCTTATCAAGTCAGTTTGTATAGTTCATAATCACTTTCATCACAAAAGGGTCTGTAAGTCTCTTAAAAGATATACATGTACATCAATGTGCAAGCCTCTAGTACACAATACGTAAATCATGACCACACCCGAGTTTCATTTTCTATACTCTGAAACTTCTTTCCATACCCAATAATTATGTCTCGGGTTCAACCATTGCTTGATGTAGCTTCCCAAATTTGAAAAACATGTTTGAAGTTCACTACAAAACTTGTGTGTACCTTCATAGGTTGGCCAGCGAGGGAGACGTGGTCAAAGGCCTGGCCGATGACGAACTTATATTCCTTCACTTTGTCCCCAACGGTTGTGCGGATCATGAAGTGGTCGGCGGCATCTTGGGTGATTTCCAATAATGGTTTACTTTCCTTCGCGACTGCTCTCATCTCATCGGGGACACCTGCAACAGTAGCACAGACACTAAATCAAACCGAAACATGAGTCTCATGAACCTATTAAGAGTGCCAAGGTGATGACAATGACCTACTTTTCAGCCGGATCCGAATTGTCTAGTCTGCAAGTGAAAAGATACACCACAAACAACTATGGCTACACTGAATTCCAATTCCATGTTTCATAAGAAAATGGTATTTACAAGTTAATTTTAATTTTAAACTTTAATAACATCGTATTTCTATATTTTATGGCGAGGTGTAGGCAGCATGACCTTAACTAAGACGTCACAAACTGCCCCTGTTGGATGAGGTCGTAAAATGATTCACAATTCATCTGGCTCACTGGTTACACCTGTTATGTATTTTTGTGCTTATTCAGTGTCGGTTTGTAACGCACAATGTGATTGATATAATATCAAGTGCGTACCAGACCGCCAAACCTTTCTAGCGTCAGAGCCTCGTTTTGAGATTTCCACGATTGTCAGATTTCTGTTTATCAGAGCACGCTGTACGACAGAGCATGCTGCACGACGTGTTTTCAAGCATTAGAAGGAGCGTAGTGTTGCAATATACAAGTGGTTAGATGTATCAAATAATACTGATTAATATTTGTGTATCCAGTTGAATGAACTGGTCTCAAAATTCTGGACTGGTTATTGTACTAAGTTTCGCAATAGGACGGAACCCAGTCAGCCGGAAACGCGGCTTGCTAGCATCATACAATCGCTCGTTTCTACTTTCATCCACTAGGAGTGAGTGCATGTGGGTTAACGCAACATTCCAGCAATACCACGGCGGGGGGACACCATACATGGACTTTACACATTGTACCCATGTGGGGAATCGAACCCGGGTATTCGGTGTGACGAGCGAACACTTTAACGACTAGGCTACCCCGCGCCCCCTATTTTCTATGAAATTGACGTATCATCTGTAAATATCCACATATGACATAAGATGTAAACACTTGTCTGAGTTGTTGTTTAACGCGGTCTGTAAATAAGCACGTGTGGATCAGATTAAATTAGGTTTGACCCTTGTGACATTGAAAAGATCTGTTTCGTGAGACTAGTAAATTAAAAATAACCCTTTCGACATTCAAAATAGATATGAGGTGAGGTGAGGTGAAGTTGGGTTTAACGTCGCGCTTGAGAATATTTCGCTCATATGACAACGTGCATGCGTGTGTATGTGTAGGTGCGGCTGCTTGTACTAGCCCAGACTTAAGCTGGTTTTATAGTGCTAGCCCACTGAGATACCATGCCGCAGTGAAGCATGAATACCCCACTCAGACACATTATACTGACTCCGAGCCGACCAGTCCTTGTTGTACCCATTAATGCCGAGCGCCAGGCAGGGACCAACAAGTACCATATTTTAACGTCTTTTGGTATGACGCGGTCGGGGATCGAACCCGCGACCTTCCGCTCTCTGGGCGGACGCTCTAACCACTACACCACGGAGGCGGTCTCAAAATAGATATGACCCTTGCGACATTCAAAATATATTTGACCCTTGAGACATCCAAATACATCTGACCCTTGAGACATTCAAAACAGATCTGACCCTTGTAACTTGTAAATTAGATCAGACTCTTTCCTCATTCAAAACAGATCTGACCCTTATGACATTCAAAACAATTTTGACCCTTGCGACTTGTAGAATAGATCAGACCAGTGCGACATAAAAATAGATCAGTGAGTCCAATGAACAACTACTAATGGTAGAACATGATCACGTGACAACATGCCACCGTGTGCGATAGCATCTCCTCATGACTCAACGCCCACGTTGCACAATTCACCTGCACCCAGCCCACACTTCCCGACCCCAGACGTATCGATCTGCCTGACGGTATGGATTAATCAATATTTTCAAAGAACATTTAGTTGGATGCTTTGATCGCCTAACAGCGTCTCAGTTCAACTCAGGTAGTGTAGACGAGAACACCTGGTTGCTATGGCGACACCTATCGTTACTTATTGTTTTAAGTAAATGAAATACTGCTGCAAATGGCTCGTAACATAAATGTAAATGAATTTAAAGCGCGGAATTGAGAGTAACTTAAGTGCATGTCAACCCATGTCAAGTCTCGTGAAACACGGGCTATCGAAACATACTCTGTAACAACACGCCAATATCCTTGGATGCAAATATACTGCGGGAAAAGTATAAAATTTGAAATTAAATTTGATCGAAACAATTACTAACGGGCAGGGGGGTCAGTGGTAGACTGACGCTCAGTCTCTGAAGATATCATACAAACGAAAGGGTCAACTAGCCCTCTTCAAACTCAGTGAGATCGGAGAATCAGAAACTGGGCAAATTCTATACTTGCTTCATATTAGAGCAGTAGCAGTACAGTAGCAATAGTAGCAGTAGCAGTAGTAGTAGCAATAGAAGCAGTAGCAGTAGTAGTAGTGGTAGTTGTTAATGAGTGAGTGACTTTGGTTTTACGCCGCTCTTTAGCAATATCGTGGCGGGGACATCAGGCTTCACACATTGTACCCATTTGGGGAATCGAACACTGGTCTTCGGTGTGACGAGCGAACGCTTAAACCATTAGGCTACCCCACCATCCTGTAGTTGTTGGTGTTGAAGTAGGGAGGTGGGGTAGCCTAGTGGTTAAAGCGTTGGCTCGTCACGCCGAAGACCCGGGTTCGATTCCCCACATGGGTGCAATGTGTGAAGCCGATTTCTGGTGTCCCCCGCCGTGATGTTGCTGGAATATTGCTAAAAGCGGCGTAAAACCAAACCGTCAGTCAGTCAGTCAGTGGTATTAAAGTTGTTGTTTTAGTAGTAGCTACAGCGGCGGGAATGGTAGTACTCTATTGACATAAGATTAATAAAAACAACCTCGCCCATCGATGGATTATCGCCACTTTGTTTTAACGATAAGGACAAATCGCAGCAACAATTATAATGCCATCAATAATCAATGGCTGACCTTTGCATATCAATCAGCAATCTGTGGGCGAAATGAATTGCCTCCTATAAACTTTCACACTTAATTAGTTCCTTACAATTTAATTAAATATAAAGTATGTTTCCACTTGAGGCTATATCGGCAACCACAATTAATTCCAACAGACGTGTTTAATCAAGCTACAATAAGCGTAATTATATTCTTTGACGTTTTCATCTCGCGTGCAGCGCTATGACCTTGACCCGAATTGCTTTCAATGGACATAATTCCCACCAGGTACGGGTATGAGCAGTGTATCGAGTTCAGAGTCATCGGACTCGTCGTATATCAGCCCTTCTGGGCACGGCGTTAATTAGAAGTATCGCCAGTCCTATGTATACTGATGTACAAAAGAAAGTGAACAGCTGCTGCTTTGGGATCATTTTCACCAAAACAACGTAAATAGTTTTTAAAAGTGTATTGATGGGACTAACAAGTCACAAGCATTGTGAACATGCTGCCAAAACACTAAATGACCTTGAAAGTACTGTGAGTGCTTTCTTTGGTATGTTAGTTTATATTTTTGCTACACAGTCGTACAGTTGATTCGTTACTTAAACAAAGGCTTCCATCGAAGGCACTTTGCATACTTCAGTTTACGCCTGCCTCAGAGCCATGGTTTACGTATTTCAAATACTATTGCACAGACTTAATCTGTCGAAGAACTCACCCGTGAAGATCCGGGTTAGAATTGATCTTCAGTAACCCATACTTGTCGTAAGAGGCGACTAACAGGATCCGGTGGTCAGGGTTCTGACTAGATTGACACATGTCATCGTATCCCAATTGCGTAGATTGATGCTCATGCTGTCGATCACTGGACTGTCTGATTTACAGACCGCCGCCATGTAGCTTTAATATTGTTGAAACAACTCACTCACTCACTCACTCACTCACTCACTATCAACAACTATATACAGTCGCATTTTCCATGTGCATAGCATAACTCTTATTCCGTGTATCGGGTGGTCAGGATTCAGACTTGATTGACACATGTCATCGTATCCCAATTGCGTAGATCTATGCTCATGCTGTTGATCACTGGATTGTCTGATCCAGACTCGATTATTAACACACCGCTGCCATATTGCTGGAATATTGCTGAGTGCGGCGTTAAACAACCAACCGACTAGTCAAAGAAGTACGACTTTCCCATTTCCTAACTATAACACAGATATAATCCAGTAGCAGAGCTCGGAATATCGCACATCCAACACTTTAGCATATACTAACAAATGTCGTATCGATAAGATCCGGTGAGGATTGTGTATGGAGCTTTAACCTGTCACGTTCTGTTTGGTCACCGGGAACCGTTTTGCCAGTTGTCGTCCCTTACATAAATGTCCATTTCAGAACTGATGTTCGGTTTTCAAAACTGAAAGACCAGCTCAAAATAGAACGAGTCCTTCAACGCAAAAGATATTCAGGGATTAAGTCGTTTTGTTGATGCGTGGAGCACTCTACATTAAGAGAGCACGCGATACAATGGAATTATGGAACCTTGGTTACACAAAGGCCGGTAAAGCTTGCTTAAAGATATTGACCTCTCTTGAGGTAGCAAACGTGCAAGTTCATAGGGCTGCCATGCCAATGCAAACGGCGGTTACTATTGTCAAGGAACACAACTCTGCACGGAGAATTGCGACGTCTGTGCTGAGTTGCGTCCCTTAACAAATTGGATCCGCAAGCTGTGCTCAGCCTCCTCGGCTTGATGTGTGGATTCTATTCCCAGTTTAACAGAATTTACCGACATCTTTTGCCGACAGGTTGTTATGGGGAAATATAGAGAAAATGCAAAGAACATATGTTTGGCCCCGAATACAGCATAACAAAAAACTCACACTAAATACTCTTCACTTAAAAATTGGCATATTTTTGGCAACGTGTCCTAATCATATACTATTGTAACTTTTTGTTTGTCCCATCATATGCTTGTGTCTGAACAATTTGGCTTGAAAGTGAGTGAGTGAGTGAGTGAGAGAGAGAGTAGGGTCCCCACATTTCCCCAAGTGGGGAATCGAAACCGCGTTAACCATTAGG